ATTAATGAAGGTTCATTAGTACAGTTTTGTATTTCTCTGTAATGTAGCACAGTGTTAACAATGTTACTGATACTATTCTTTCTCATACCTTCAACCATTGTGTTGCCCTGCCCAAAATATATCATTTAATGACTGCATTAATATTGTAAACACGTGGGCAACTAGTCGACTAATGGCCCTAAATGACGACTGTTGGTCGACTAGGAAAATTCTTAGCTGGGGGCAGCGCTATTATTCACACATCCAGCAGTTAGAAAAGCAAAATTATACTTAAAAGTTCTGTTTTGGTTTCTACCAACCCCTGAGGTAAATATCTTTGTATTCAGCTCCTAATTGCTCCACTATGTTCACCAGTTAGTCTCTAGCTGTGTCTGTCTGCTGTTTGGTGCTGAGCAGGTAGAGTACAGTTGGTTTTAAGAGCTTTTTTGCTGAAAACTGAACTGAAAACTGCTGCTGCTGAAAATTACACTGATGAGAGCAGTGAGAGTGAATAAAACAAAAAAAAGAGCTCAAAATTACAATAAAGCTACAGAACTACAGTCAGGTGACTTAAGTCTCTGTAGGTTCATCACTATGAGTGACCCCTTTCACATACAAGTTGTCATGTGATCAGCTGCTGATGAAAACGATGTATTATCAGGGTGTCTACAGGTATCACACAGTTAAATTTAATGCTTTTTAAGACGTGTTCAAGACACTTTTAACCAAATTTAGGGACAGATTTTTGGACAAATCATGTTTTACTTGTTTAAGGATCACAGGTAAGTGTTGCTGGCAAGTAGTGTATATGTTGTCTTGTGCAGAGGTAAGTGGTATGTAGGAATATGGTTATTAGAGTGAGTTAAGTCAATCTACATTTTGCCAAAAGGGTGTAACTATGAAGTAAAATCACAGTGTTTTAATCTTTTAAAGTTTTGTTACATTAGAAAGGCTTCAAATTCAAATTTCAGACTATGTAATTACAGTTAAGGCCTTATTGTTGTTAACACTGAATTTAAGATATTTAAGACTTTTTAAGACCCCACAGACCCTCAGTTTCATTCGCACACTCTTCTTTAATCTTTTAGTGCATATCTTTACTCTTCTTAATCCTTCACTATTCTCTAGTTTTAAACCTGGATCTGTAGACGAGGTGAGAGTGATTAATTTTACTCATAAAGCAGGATGCAGAGTTTGTGCCTAACGTAGCATAGCACAGTAAAATTAAACCAAAGCAGTGACAGACTGCAGTGTTTGCAGGGGGTTCCTGCTTCTGCAACAAATTAAGTCTAACATGTTAAATTACACAGAGACTGTTCACAATGCTAATTATTTGCTGCATAATTACTTGTGAAATTACACTCATTAGGCTTAATTATGTATTTTTCCCTCTGGTGGTTATTTAAGTTTTTGTCTGATCTCAGCTCTGAGGAGCGTCGGGTTGCTCACCTCCCTGACCGCTGGCGGGCACGTTCATGGTGGCCAGGATGCTCTGCAGGTCTCTCAGCTGGATGGGCTGCGTGGGGTTGGCTGCCCCCGCCGCCGCTGCAGTGGTCACAGCAGGGGTGGAGGGGGTGGTGGCTGTCGGGGAGGCTGCCGAGGTGGCGGAGGGAGTGATGGGAGTGGTAGGCACCTGGGTGGAGCCAAGGCGACTGGCAGTAGAGGTGGAGGTAGGGGTGACAGCTGTGGACGGACTGAGAGGGGACAAAAAGTGTCAATCCAGGATCAGCTCACCGTTATTACAACCTCCAACACGAAGCACCAACACACATCAACTTGTGATATCTGATGTTACTTTGAGATGTTTTTCCCTTCTTGTAGCAAAGGAATATGTTGCACATCTATTTTCAAACAGGTGTGTGGGGGAGGGACAAGCAGAACACATCTTGTAGAAAAACTCCTGCACACTGTCTTACTTGCAAAAATAGTTATTCTAATGCTGCAACATTTCCGTAACTCGACCTTCATCGGGCAGTGTGCGTAATGAAATGAACTTTCAAGATCAAGATTTTTCTCAGTGCAATTATCGGACATTGGTATCAAATATTAAGTCAACACAGATGCACCTGATCTTTGATTATGATGTACTGACACTAAAACCTGAAGTGTAACGTTCGTGTTTCGCACAGGTGATTCTGTAACTCTTCTACTTCCTCTCTGTCATAACTTCCCCTCATATTTCTTCTTATGTCTTCTTTGTTTGTCAATTTAAAAGCAGAACAAAACCAACTAGGATAGAACTAGAACCAACTAGGCCAAACAATACACAGCCAGTATCTGTGTCTGACAAAGACTTGAAAAGATGGATTTTTCTTGGATGTTCAGGACTCAGGTACCTTGTGGAGGAGTTACTGGCTGCAGGAACGTTGCTGCTGCTGCTGCCCAGGAGGTTAGCCAATCCTGGACCTGCCAGAGCCCCGAGACCACCTGTCGTTCAGAAGAAAGAAAAACAGCCACATGATTCTCCTGGGAGCATGAAACTACATTTACCAAGATATTCTCCTCCATTGTCTGATTAACATGCAGGCACGAACCGATTCCCCCGAGTCCAGTTGGTCCAATGAGCTGCATGAGCTGGTTGTGGCTCATGTTACCCAGAAGGCTCTGCAGACCGCCCTCGCCTTTACAGGAGAAAAATAACAGGTGACATAAAGCATCAGAACAAATTTCTGTTTTCAGATGTGTCCTAACAGCATGTCTGAAGCTCTTGAACATTACAGGAAAATACTTGTTACCTCCCAGGGCAGACAGATCATGTCCTCCGCTGCCGCCACTACCAAGGGCACCGGGCATGGGCGGGTTGTTGAGATACTCATTCACTTTACGGCAGTGCTCCTCGTCTTTGTCGGTTTTTGGCTCCTGAGATCAGACAAACAAAACCAAGACGTTTAATCTGGCTCACTGGTGATGAATTTCTGAATAAACAAAGTGTTTATTCAGTAGTTTCACTACATTGAGTACTGATATAATTTTGTGGTAATAATACAATAAGATGAATTTAAAATGAATTGGAAAGTCGCAGTAAGAGTAGGTTTGACTATCATCTGTTAAAAGGATAGGGTGGCATTATTCTGTATTTTTTTGGTCAACGTCTTCCTCCCAGCGACTTGAACATATATTTTCACTGCACCTCGTCTACATCAGTGAGCTCACTGTGCCCTGGGAGGATGCGGTGGTGGAGGCCTACGAACGCAAGAGACGTAAGTACGCTGAGCTGGCAGCTGACACCAAACAACACGGCTTAAAAGCGAAGGTTTGCCCAGTTGAAGATGACTGCAGAGGCTTCATAGGCAATCAACTACCAGGCTGCTTAAAGAAATGGGAATTCGAGGCCAAGCCCATTGTCAGGCCATCAAAGCCCTCTCAGGCGCAGCCAAAAAGGCAAGCCGGTGGCTATAGAACAACAGCAGGGTTCGAGGGAGTAAGAGCAGAGGGGGGTGGACCTGGGATGTCAGGTGTTGCCGATGAGCCCTCTAGAGGTGTTGTGGGCCTATCATCGAAACTGATGACCCTAATGAAGCTTTAGCCCTCCCTAACCCTCTGCTGGGAAAGAATAAATGAAATAGCAGTATATTTACTAGTGTTATTACCTTCATAGTAAATGTTAATTTCCTCCACATTTACCTTTATCATTGTGTGTTTTTATCAAGTGCAAATCAAAGTGTGGGGAGCAGACAATCATGCTGCATACCTGCATCCAGAAGAAGAGTCTTTTGGAGCCAGCTTTGAACTTCAGCACATAGACTCGTCCGGTGGTGCACTGGTTCACCCGTTTGAACTCACAGTCATCAGGAAAGATAATCAGGTCCTAAATCAGGACAGGAACCAGGTTAATAATAGGGTTGTACACAGAGGAAGCTTTTATTACACATAGACGATGTCACCTACATCATCCACGTTCCCGGTCGTCCGATCCTTCCAGCAGAAGTGGATGAGGGAGTCGTCGGTCTGCTGGATGTAGACCTGACCTTTGCGCTTGTCAGGGGTCACCGTGCTGCCCTTCATGGTCATCTTACCGGCCCGGAACTCCACCAGGTACTTGCTGGAGGAGCCGCGGGACCCAGACACCATGCTGGGGAACAAAGCTCCAGAGGCCATGATGAGGAAGACAGGTTGTGCTGCAGGGAGGACACAGAGGAGGGAGAGACATCATCAGGGTGAAGTCAGAATCAGGTTTATTGCCATGAGTAATTTGACTTGGTGTTTTGGTGCAAGAGAAAATAAAAATCAGATATTGTAAAATCAAGAAACATAAATAAATAGAAGAATAAAAAAACTGTACAATAAAAATATGAAAAATGACTAAGACTTAGACTAAGAGGTCATCTTTTTCCTGCTGTGTCACTCCACTCTGCTAATGAACATATAATTAAGCTGTAGATTAATATAAATGTAGATTAAATGGTCATTCTTGCTTCCACATCCATTCTGGACGTGTCTCTAACCTACTAGCCCATTTACTGTGAAGCTAATTTAATTATTTCCTTTCAGCAGATGATAACACTCTCATAGAGTGACACTAAAATAACACATTAAGCAGACAACATGATAAAGAAGCAGATCTGAAACATAACATAATACTGGAACAAAGCTCATCCCAGTGCTCCCATTATAACCCAGCTACTGGAGTAGCCACAGATGACTCTGCATCCTGTAGCACGCCGCCTGTTGTCGGCTCGACGTCTTCACGACTGAGCTGCACTTTCACATTTCACACACATAAATTAAACACACGTCTGTTTACTGTGTTACTGAGTCACAAATATACCTAATAAAAGATGTTTATACTTACATGTTCTCACTGAAATACCGTTCAGCCGGAGAGCAGACAAAAACACTGAGGGGGGATTCTGATTGGCTCGCTGGTGCCGGTGCGTCGCTGTGATTGGTTGAACCGTGTGTCAGTAAGGAGGGCTTTAAACGTCCATGCGCATGTTCGGTAGAGATGACACAGCACAGCCTGTTTACTGTGCTGAAGCTTTTTATACAGAAATAAATCAAACTGAGATTGTTTGGATCAAATTTCTAATAAGACATCCGTCATAAAGTATTTATATGTTGTTACCGATGGCTTTATTAATCATTAATAAATCAAGTCTGTTATAAATCATTAATGAGATTAACCTCTGAGCTTTGACTAGATTGTGATAAATCCATTTGACTGGGTTTGATGGGCTGCAGATGTTACTAACGCCCAGTGGTGGAAAGTAACTGAGTATTTTTACTCAAATACTGTACTTAGCTATCATTTTCAGGTACTTGTACTTGAGTATTTCCATTTTATGTTACTTTAAAGTTCTACTCCATGACAGTTCAGATGGAAATACAGCATTTTTTTTACTCCATTACATTTATGCTAAATTTAGTTTAAATAGAAAATAAAAATTACAAATAAAATGTGTTATTATAGTTTCAGCTACCCAGCAGTATATATATACAGTAATTAAAATTAGCACCAACTTCACAAGATGCAATGTTTAAGTGTTGGACACATTAATCTACCAATAATTATAATCCAAATATGTAATATGTCTAATTCTTTTGAAGAGAGATATTCGCACATCCAACTGTCTCTGAGAGGTTTTATTATTATTTCTCAGACACAGAGTCCTTGAACAGAAAATTTTGCACACTGCTCTTGCTCAGCTCCACAATTTCTATGTAACACTTGCTAATAGACTCAATATGTCTAATTCTGAAATATGCCAGTCTGCATAATAAGTACTTTTAATTTTGGTAATTTAATTTTATTTTGATGCTAATACTTTGGCACTTCTAGACTACTAAAGTACATGATCTGAGTTTGTCTTCTCTCACTGTTAACAACATGAAGCATTTTTAGGATTACCAACATTTACACTAGCATTAATACAAAAAAGAAAGGGACAAAACTAAACTACTAAAGTGTGCATGCTATGCTAAAAGACAATGCTAACATTAGGGATGAGCAATTATACCGTCATTTGTTTCTGTATCTGTTCAACCTATTAAATTATCTGTATCTGTACTCGGAATATGCAGGGTTAAAACCTGATGTGGGTGGAGTTTGTATCAAAAATGTGTGGGGGGGCCTAACTGGAAGTTGTTCTGAAAACCTGAAATTGATATAGGTTGATCAGAAGTTGCTATATTATTATTTATTAGAAAGCTTTTTACAGAATCATCTCAAAATTGAGTTTTAGATCATTTTGATCACGTGTTATATATTAAACACAGCTCCTAAAATGAGGATTTGGTCCCCTTGTAATGAATCATTGTTTACTGGTGACCTCTTGTCACACCTTGCATTGTGTCAATGAGTAATACGTAGTTTTCCCTTCTCAGATTGTTTCTTTTGAATATTTTATGAGGACCTATGAGGAGAAAGGATTTCAGTTCTTCAAAAGAAAAAGCAAAGATTAGAAAAAAAGCAGAAAAAAATACGAGATATGCAGCAGAAAAATGTCTTTTTTTTATATATATATATATATCCCATAAATCATCTTGTAACCTCAAAGCTGGGAACCACTGGTGTACACACACACACACACACAGTGTTAAAGTAATTGCTCAAATGACGACAGGGCTGGTAATTTCAATAGTCCATAATTTATTTCTCAAATATGCCTTGTAAGCATATGTTTGTATGTGGATAACAGTATGAGGAGAAAACAAAACAAGAGCTTAATGAACATACAATGTAAACATTTTCAAACAGATGCTAGACGAAACAAGAGGGTAAAGAGTGTGAGATCAGAGGGACCATCAGAGCGAACCTGCAGCTTTGAGAGTCTGTAGGCGTCACAAAGTGCTTTGAATTCAGAGTGAAGTTGAGGGCAGCCAAGGGGAGACGTGATCAAAGATATACTCTCACTGTACAATATGTGCGTTGGACTGTGAGCAATCAAATGTGCAGTTTATGCAAGGTTAGTGCTCAGAAACACAAAGAAACATCTACACAGTCTCTAACATGTGCTGAATGTATGTCAGCTTTATATCATCAGCACACAACATTCATTATCTGCTGCCTCTGTAGTGTCTGAAGCACACGTCGGCTACAAGCTGAAGAGGAGTTAAGTGTTTTATTTCTATTCTTCACATTTCAGGAGGGCAGACTGGAGGGATCAGTTTGCATAGGTTCATGATGGCTACAGAGTCCTGTCTATTTCTGCTGCTGCTGCTGCTGTGTCCGAAAACAGCTTTCATTGATGGAGAAATGTCTGTGGGGATTGAACTGGAAACTCCGCAAACAGTCAGAGTTACGTGTCCATATGTGAAGACGGCTATAATCAGGAGTCGGTATGACACAGCACCTTGGCAGGAGGCCACGGAGGGAGAGCCTTAAAATTCCTACTCCTTCTTGGAGTCATAACTCAGTCAAAAATATATGACACATATTTTTAGATTGAGTCTGACTTATACATCCTGTGGATATCATTAAATCAACATCTCACAAATCCAGAACTTGACTGAGGATCATCTCGCTGTTTCTTTACTATCAAAGTCATTCAGTGTTTGTTGTCTGTACATTTTATGGGTGCACTGCAAACAAGAACTGCTAACAGCTAATTCAACAAACTTTTAAAGGTCCAGTGTGAAGGATTTAGAGGGATATATTGGAATAAAATATTTATACCTACGTTTTTATTAGTCTATAATCACCTGAAACTGGTGCTGTGTCTTGACTTGCATTCTTCCATACCTATACTTGCTATTTTAAATGCTTAAGTGCATTCACACTGACAAGTATGGTAAAGTGCAGTACACTATGAGTACCCATAACAGTCAGATGTTGAGTTCGGAACGCTGCACACTTCTCACCCTTAATGGTCGCCATTTTTGCCATGTAGCTGAAAGGGAGGGACCACCAAACTTGTGAAAATGGTGGCTGAAAAAGCTGCATCGGTTGTGGTTGCTGCGGTTAACAAGCAAACAAGCATGTACACATTTCGGCGGGCGACATTTGCAGTCAAACACTGGCGGTAATGCTCCATCTGGTTGCAATTTGCCATTTAAAAGAAGATCATTCATTAATCAACTGTTACTCCTGATAAGAGCACAGTAGCTGTGTTTGATTTGAGACACGAAATTCATGTATTGCGCAAGTAAGTACAGAGTATACACAGTGCGTACTATGTGGAAGTGTACTACAAGAAGTATCTGAATTGAGACACGGCATAAGGGGCCGTACACACGCCGCCTCTAACTGCCTGGAAAACGCATGGTCAAGAACTGGGCACTACTTTTGTTTTTTTGCGCCAGTTGTCAAGCGCGCGGTGGCAGCTTGCCTCTGAGGTTGCTAAGCAACCTTAAGAAGCACCGTATCATAGCCTATTTACCCAAAATCCTGAGTGCAGGGATGATCTTCCTACAGGCGCTATTTATAAGTGTGTAGGCCTATTGTCTGTGGGACAGATGTAAAGCTCTGGGTAGCCCTGCACTAACATGATCAAGTTTTCCACATTTACCAGATATTGAATATTTATGGAAGACGGGAAAGATATCTGTTGGCTGTGATTGGTTGCTCCTCATCACATGACATGCGGTGCGCGCTCCTGTGTTTCAAAAGTTGAATTCTGTTTATCTTGGGGCGCAGCCCTCAAAAGTAGGCTCCTGGGAATGAATGCACGCTGCGATGGCGTCACTCTGTTGTTTGAGCGTGCCTGCCGTGTGTCTACATTGAGAACATTAAGTTTGAGGGTGCAAAAAATGCGACATGTGTACGGCCCTTAGGAATCATGTTTTGGTTCCCTCAGATTGAGCCATTTGTATCTATATATAAAGCGGGCTGTCTTCCACAGAGTCCGCCATGTTGTTTCTACAGTAGCCCAGAACAAACCAAACACTGGCTCTTGATACTGTCGAGCCATTTGTGTCGGCCAACATAGATCACTTCGCAAACGGGAAGTATCAGTCAGTTGCAATCTGCAACTTCACCACTAGATGCCACTAAATCCTACACACTGGACATTTAAATGATGACAATTTGCAAAGTTAGTTCGTCTTTAGTACAATAAACAATAACAACAGGAGTTACAAAATCTGTCAATATGAACTTTTCATTTATGTTGTTTTGACTTTATGGCTCAGAATATACCATGGACATGTCAGACTGAAAACCCCCTGCTTTGAACCACTGTATCCTTCTGCTTCAACGTTTCATGTGAATCCATTTACAGTTTTATTATTAGTGCAGAAAAAGTTTTTTTATGGCTTTAACTTGTGTAAATAATCCGCCTTGGTGATCATGCATGCACCAATTATTATAAACATCATCTATGTTACAGCGGACAACATTATAATGTACCAACAATATGTTTACTGTGACGGTAAACATTGTTAGAAGCAGCTTTCATCTCTACTGTAAGTCTCTATTCACAGAAAACGTAACACACGTGACATTTTAGGGATGTTTACAACTAACTAAAATACACATCTAATATTCAAATGATAGGTTTTTAATGCATATAAAAAGTAGCAGATGTGTTTAAATAACCCCTGATATTTGAATGCAAGTGGACAAGAAGTGTGTGGGACGACTACAGGTGAGATTATGGTTGAGTACCTGAACTAAAACTGAGAATACAGTCTCTAGAAGTCAGAGCTTTATGTTCTGCAGCAGCAGCATGGTCACCACATACACGCGCGCGCGCGCACACACACACACACACACACACACACACACACACACACACACACACACACACACACACACACACACACTCACGCACTCATGCACACAGATGACTTGTTTAAAACCCTCGACAGGTGAGTAACATACACGTGGACTATTACTGTCATGATTAGGGCATATTATAAAGATGAAGATGTCTGACATTTACATTAAGTAAACTCTAAAATTCTCCTTTCTATAATATTTTCTCCTGTGGACAAAGT